TCTAAAAATGAGATTATGTTTTTTGGGGTTTTTTTGGTACTGGGAATTGAACTCAGAACCTTGTGCTTACAAGGCAGGCGGTGGAACCACTGAGCTAAATCCCTGGCCCTTTTTATTTTGACATAAGCTCTTGCTAAGTTGCCCAGGCTGGGTTTGAACTTGCTAACCTCTTGCCTCAGCCTTCCAGAGTGCTTGGATTACAGGCATATGCAGTCATACCCAGTAGGCCAGTCTTTTCCATTAAAAATATTTATTTATAGCAAAAATTTTATGACACATTTTGATTGAATAAATGTATAAAATGCCTAAAAGTACAAACCTCCTATGATATGTCTATGAATGTAAACGCTGTCACTCTCCTTGTGTGTGTATTGAATAACTTCCTAAGGCATTGAGATTATTATTTTACTTGGATTTATTATTTTTGGTTTGTTTTTTTTTTTTTTGGTACCAGGAATCGAACTCTGGACCTTGCGCTTTCTAGGCAGATGGCGGCAAAACCACTGAGCTAAATCCCCAGCCCTTACTTGCATTTATTATTACCATTGTTATAGTCACCACTTCCTATATGTGGAGGATTAGGTCCATCAACCCTGTGAATATCAAAGTCTGTAGGTGAGTGGAATGGCGTAGTTTTTGCTGTGTATAACTACATGGCCCTCCTGTGCAGTTTGAATCATTTCCAGATTACCTAGGACACCCGAGATGATGTACATGCCATGTCAGTAATTGTGATACTGTATCGCTTAAGGAAAGGTGACAAGAAAAAGTAACTTTTAGTACAGAGGCACTTTTTCATGAATATTTAGTCAGAAGCTGATTGAATCTATGGATGCAGAAACAGAAATATGGGGCTTGTCTTACTGTTTACTATTGGGATAATTGCTTTATTGATTAAATCCCATGTATTTCTGTGCAAGCTCTAACATATTTACTTATTTTTTTACATCTATCTATCTATCTATATCTATTTTTTGTTTTTTTGAGACAGGGTCTCACTATGTAGCCCAGGCCAGCCTCGAACTTGTGGTGATCCTCCTGCCTCAGCTTCCTGAGTGCTGGGATTACAGGTGTGTGCCACCACACTCGGCCCTGACACATTTCTAATATAAGCCCCCTGCAGCCCTATGCCACTAACAGGCTGAAGGCTGAATCCCTCAGACCCATGTACTGAAAGCAATGAGTAGGGTGTGAGAATCAAAGTGAAGCTGAGGAAGCTTGCTTCACTCAAACTTCCCAGCAGCCAAGGCAAAAGTAAAAATAAAAGGGGTCATAGAGCTCTTGAACTTCAGCAGAGGAAATGAGCCCAGTTCTCAGAATGCATGCACTTTCCCAGTTCTGCCCCCAGAGAGGCTGAGTCGAGGGTACCTTGGGTAACAAACGGTGTTGTGCAAGGGACAGTTTCAGTGGAAGATGCAGGGCCCACCAGGGTTTGGCCATGCCCCACACTGGCTCTTCCTAACTGCTGAAGGTGCGTGGATGAACTGTCATTCTGGGAAGGCATATTTTTGTGGGCAGCCTGAGTAACATGGTCTGAGTGTGACGTTTTTCTGCTGAAGAGTGTCACGTTTGCAAGAGATTTAAGAAATACATATTAATAGTGTGGCTTTCATGCTGTACTTTCATGCCAGGAATCTCATTTAATTGTCTAGAGGATGGAGGCAGTTTGTTAGTGCCGTTTTGGGCCTGGCATGGTGGTGTATGCCTGTAATCCCAGCACTCTGGAGGCTGAGGCAAGAAGAACATCAAGAGTTTGAGGCCAGCCAGGGCTACATAGTGAGTTCAAGACCTGCCTGAACTACATAGCAAGACTCTGTCTCAAAAATAAATAAATAAATAAGCTGTTTTACAGAGGAGGAAACTGAGTCTCGGGGAGACTGACTTATCCAAGGTCACGTAGTTAAGTGTCCCTGCCAGAGCCGAACCTAAATCTGTTGCCTCTTCCTTTAGATGGTGCTCTGTTAGAGAAGAGAGGGCAGTTACGGCCCCGTGCATCAGAGCTGGCTATTTTATGTCCCAGGCACCACCTCACCTGTCTGTGCAGAAAATCCTACAGGCCCACGTGGTAGCCTGCGTGACACACAGGGCTGGCAGGGCTAAGCTTAGGAGGGCAGTAAGACGTTGGGAGCCAAGCCCAGCTCCTACTCTGGCTTTGGTGGTGGCACTTCGGGGTGTGCAAGGATTCTGTGGACTTGCACACACACATTTGTACCTATTTGCATTTTTCTGGGTGAGAAGTGAAGGGGTAACTTTCATGCAGGCTCAAAGAAAAACCCAAAACACCCAAAAAGCCCAGATCAGAAACAGCAAAATACAGGCCCATGAGTGCAGGAAGGAATCATAATAGCAGTTCACATTGGCTGCACCCCAACTAGGCGGACACCCTGGTGGGCCTGTAGGTGTGGCCATTCCTGGGAGGGCTATGGTGCATCATGTGTACCTTATCGTTGCTCAGCCAGTGTCCCTTTGTGGTGACAGTTTTGCTTCTTTTCTACCATTGCCTCTTATAGCTGATTTTTTTCCCGGCAATTAGTAGGTGTTTTTTAATTTTGTTTTTGTTTTTGGTATTTTTTGGAACAGGGTCTCATTTTGTAGTTCAGGTTGGCTTTTTTTTTTTTTTTATTAACCTACCGGGGATCGAACTCAGGACCCTGCACTTTCGAGGCAGGCACGGTGCCACTGAGCTAAATCCCTGACCCCTAGTTCAGGCTGGCTTTGAACTCACCGTATAGCCTAGGCTGGTCTCAAACTCCCAGCGATCTGCCTGCCTCAGCCTCCTGAGTGCTGGGATTACAGGCCTGTGCCACCACGCCCAGCAGTAATTAGTCGTTTCTGCTCCTTTTTTGTGGAACTGACAATTATTAAGAAACAATGAGATATTGTACTTCAAGAGGCTTAGTGCCAAATCATTGCTGTTCCAAACCAGAACAAGAATGTTTTGTTAAGAGAGTGAATGAATGGATGCATGGATAAGGGTAGAAGAAAGATGCACTTCTTCCTCTTGTAATGGCAGACTTACAGTCCACAGTGTGGCAGCTCTTAGTGGTATAGCAAGATCAGGCTAAGAGGAATTGAGAATGAACCTGGAGGTTGGAGGCAAGTTTATTGCAACAGCGGACTGATCGGGGATTTCTCCATAAAGCAATCAGCCCGAAGCGGGCAGTGAACAGGGTTTATATGAGTTAAGGAAAGGGGTGTGGGGAGACAGAAGCAAGGCATTTATCATCAGCTTATTGGTTGAGGAAGTTACATTTAGCTTACATGATTTGATAGAAAAGTACACTGGATACAGACACTCCGTGAGAGCAAGGACAATGAAGGAGGACATGTGTTAAATATGGAAGGGGGGATGCGCTGGGGGTGGCTCTTTGTCAATTGGGTCAGCTAGCCACATGAAAAACCTTTTTTGCTCAGACATTGTTTTCCAGCTCCGTGTTGTGGGTCACCGAGAGATGGATACAGCTCTCATGGCTCCTCTTTGAGAATGATGCTCACCGTTGTGTTAGAGAGGAGTCTTGGAGAGGCTAAGACCGGCCCTGATGCTGATGGCCAGGGAGGACCTGCGTGACCAGAGGAGCCTAAGGAGACCACATCTTCCCTCTCGGGTGGGCAGTGGCTGTGAGTGGCAGGTGCCCTTGGTGCTCTCCGCACTGGCGTATCCCATTCCACAGTGTGTGGCAGGGCTCGAAGGCCCAGGAGTGTCTTGCTCCTCTAAGGCCTTGAACCTGTCACATCCCTGGCCCAACTCAAAGCTCTCTGTGTGACCTTTGGCTTCTTGTACCCGGGCATGGCTTGTTCCTCAGTTACAAGCATCAGCAGCCCCATTTCACAGGCTCACATACTTCAGATGACTCAGGGCCTTGGAGAGTTGTGGACCCGGAACCTGGGCCCAGCCATGACTGGCCCCAAAGCTGAGTCTCACTGCATCCTCACGTTTAGATTCCACAGGGAACCCTCTGGACGGTCAGCCATGCACGGGAGGCCCCCCCATCCTGTGCGGCTCTGCCCAACCCACTCCTGGGCTGGAGAGCTGGCATGGGCCCAGCTGGGTCAGAGTAAGGGCTGCTTTCCTGCTTAGAGAGAGCCGCCTCAGCTGTGGGGCTGAGAGCGGAAGCTGGGCACTGATCTGGGACTGTCCTGAAGTGTGTGATGCTGTCCCTTCTTTGGGAAAGGTGAATAAGTATCTTTGCAGGCGGACAGGAGCCTGAGTGTGTCAGGAGAAAGTGAAGATGAGACTGTGAGACTGAGCTAGGAAGGGAGGACTGAGTCACCACCTGCTGCACTTTTTACTAGATTTGTCCTTTTCTGGCCCCTGTGCTAGGCTGAGAGCCCTTAAAGGACCTAGGACTGGTGGTTCTTCTGGAGCCTTCTGCCCACAAGGTGTACAGTAGGTATATGGCGGATGGATGGGTGAATGAACAAGTGAGTGAGTAAATGAATAAGTGAATGTCCTAGGGGTTAAGACACCTCCTTTGCAGTCCAGGACCTGCCACCAAATAATCTGTGGACTTGGCCAGTCCCACCACCTTTTTGAGGCTCAGTTTCCCCATCTGAGCTTACGTTCAAGACCTGAATGCCCTGATGCTCCGAGGCAATGAGGGCTCAGGCTCTGGAAGGTAGCGAGAAGAGACTGCAGGGGGCCAGGTCTGTGAGGGTGTGGCTGCCTGGGACCGGTCAGGGAAGGCGTGGCCATGGAGCGTGGGAGGCAGGGCAACGCTGAGGGCTGGAGCGGGTGGGCTGGCGGGAAGGGAGGTGAGGCCTGGGGAGAAGGCCCTTGCTGAAGCTTGTGGTTCCACAGCGGCTTGGTTTTTCTTTTTTGAAAAAAATGAAGCACCCAGGCGACTGTCCTGGTGTCAGAACCACCTGTGAGGTTGGGGACAGGTTGGCAGGGGGAGGAGGGGACAGGCCTGGACTGGGGCACTGGGACACTGGTGTGTGGGGTCTCCCCTCTCAGGGCAGGGCGCCTCTGCTCATCTTACTCGGCCTTATGTTTCCTGCAGATCATGATCGAGTTCTGCCCTGGGGGAGCTGTGGACGCCATCATGCTGGGTGAGTTTTCCTCCGACCAGAGCGTGCTGGGGACAGAAGGATGTGCAGTGAGTCTTGAGCACATCTCTGCTCTGTCCCCCAAAGGGTCAGCTCTTGGAGAGATTGCTGGGCAGTCTTTGGAAGACCAGCCCTTCCCATTCGAAGGCCACGGCTCCTTCACCAGTCACTGACCCTCTGTAGCTTCCTTGGCTGTCAGATGGGTGTGGCACCTCATTTGCCTGACCACACAGCACACTTAGGAGTGGGAATGAAACACTTGAAGGGTCCTTCTCTGTGTGTGCAGTACTGGAGATCGAACCCAGGGCTCTTCTGCCACTGAGCTACATCCTAGCTCCTTTTATTTTTTATTTTGAGACAGGACCTCACTAAATTGTCCAGGCTGATCTTATACTCGGGATCCTCCTGCCTCAGCCTTCTGAGTAGCTGGGAGTAGAGGAGTGTGCCACCACATCTGACAGGGAGTTTCTTTGAAAAATGGAACACTCGTCTACATCCTTTTCTGCTGCTGTACAGAACACTTGATCCTGAAGAGTGTTCATAAAGAACAGAGATTAATGTGGGTCATGGAGGCTGGGAAATCCAAAAGCAAGGTGCCAGTGTCTGGTGCAGACTTCTTGCTATGCCATCTGTGGTGGAAGGTGGAAGGTAGAAGACAGAAGGGCAAGAGAGCACAGGCAAGAGAGAAGGGAAACTGCAGTCGTCCCCTGGTTTGGAACCCACCTCCATGGTAACCATAACAGTGCCATTAATCCATTCATGAGGGCGGAGCCAGTCACCTCCCAGAATCCCACCTGTCAACACTGGTGGATGGGGGACCAAGTTTCCATTTTGGAAATACTCTATAATGTTATCAGGTCTTGATGTCCTGGGCCAGCTTGAACAATACCAACACCAACAATGACAATGAGGTGTTAGTAATAACCATTATTTTCGGGCTTAGTCCATTTCCTATTGCAAAAACAAAGCACCCAAGGGTGGGTACTTTAGAAAGGAAAGAGGTTTATGTAGCTCACAGGTTTGGAGGCTGAAAGTCCATGTGTTTGGTGTGTGGTGAGGGCTGCATGGAGCGTGGCATCGCAGTGTTGGGAGCCCGTGCAGAGGAGGGGACACAGCGAGACAGGAAGCCAGAGAGATTCAGGGGGCGGCCTTGCTGTCCCCATAACAACTTGCTCTTGTAAGAACCAGCTCGCTCTCACTTGAGGGCTAATCCCCTTGTAGGCAGTGCCCCTAATTACCTGTGCTAGGCCCCACCTCTTAGGGTTCTGCCACCTGAACACGGCCACACGGAGACCCAAGCTTTCCAGCACATGAGCCTCAAATCACTTCTAAACCACAGCTTTGTGAGCAGTCACTGTGTACCAGAAATCGTGTCAGTGTTTTCACATCTATTATCCTCATTTAACCTCGAGTATAAAATCTGAAAGAGCATCTCTCTGTTTTCCTCCTCCTCTTCCTCCTCTTCTTCTTCATCATCATCATCTTCTTCACCTTCATCTTCATCTTCTTCGTCATCATCTTCTTTCTTCTCAAGTACTAAGGGTTAAAACCAGGGTCTTTGCACTGAGCTACATCTCCAGCCCTTTCTTTAGTTTTTATTTTGAGACAGGGTCTCCCTAAGTCAATAAGTTTCAGGGCTGACTTGAACTTGAGATCCCCCTGCCTCAGCCTTCCACAGTGCTGGTATTACAGGCATGTGCCACTGGCTATGTTTTATTCTTAATCTGACTGACATAGAGGTTAAGGAGGTGCTTGCCCTGTTGAAGAGCAGAACTGAGATACAAACCCAGGTCTGGGTGACCCTCCCTCCTAGCCACTGCCTGATCTGTATCACTCCCTGCTTGTGCCAGCCCTCAGGGCAGTGAGAGAGGAGCAGCCATGGGCTAGGTCCACGGAAGGTGAATGGCAAGCCTAGGATTCTAGAATGGCTCAGAACAAGAGTGGTCCAGCATGATGTTGTATGAAAGTCATCCGTCGGTCCAGTCCCACCCCACTCCCCATTTATCTCAGGGCTGTTTCACATTTATAGAACATTTTCATCAGGAGCCATAGAAATGCTGGATCCACAGGCCTTCGAGCCCTATGGTAGTCAGTTTTCTGTTACTTTAACAAATGCCTAAGAAAATCAAAGAGGAAAATTAAGAATAGGAAAGGTTTATCTTGGCTCACAGTTTTGGAGGTTTCAGTCCATGGTCTGTCGGCCCCATTGCTTTGGGAGAGAAAAACAGGAGCAGACCAGCACCCACTCTCCCCTTCAAGGACACGCCCCCAGTGACCTAGGCCTCCCATGAGGCCCCACCCCTAAAAAGGTCCACCATCTCCCAAAGTGCTAAGCTGAGGACCAAGCTTTACTACATGGATCTTTGGGGAATGTCCCAGAGCCAACTGCAGAGCCCCTGACCACTCCCAAAGCTCAGGCAGTGTGAGAAGCTGCTCTGGAGTCACCTGACAAGGAAGGAGCCATGTCCCAGTTACAGCTCTGTGCCTGGGTTGCCTCCCACAGACACCTGCCCTCCCTAGGCGCTTTCTGCCCTTCCTCCACCTTCCCACTGTCCTGCAGGGTTGGGAGCAGTTACCAGCCTGGGCTGGGGGACGGGAGAGCTGGGGTCCATTTGCAGTTGTCTGTTTCTAGCTGTGGGACACTGAGCTCTGACCCTTTTGTGAGATGGGGAGAACTCCATGTGGCTGGTCACTGTATGACCATTCTAGTCTAATGCCTAGTGTCTGTTTAGATAGGAAAGGACATGATTGGCCACATCTTGCCTGTTGTTAAACATTTGGGCTCTAAACCCTCTTCTAGTGCAAGGGTCAGGACTGGGATTAGAAGTGGCCTTAGAAGAGACTAAGACTCACCTGGGCTTCGAGGATGGTAGGCAAATACTCTACCACTGAGTCACACTGCAGCCCTTCCTTTAAAATTCACAATTTACCCTGCTAGCCTCAAATTCTCAATCTTTCTGCCCCAGCCTCTCAGAGGCTAGAAGTACAACCACCACACCCGGCTGATATAATTAAAAAAAAAAAAAGTAGAAGGTATTCATGTAATGCTCTATAATTAAAAACTATTCTTAAAAATTTATTGGACTTGAACGACTTTACTGTATGAGTGCAGTTTTATGGCATTCTAGGAAAAGACAGAACAATAGGGACACAACTCAAATGACTGATTACTTACAGGCTGAAGATGGGAAATTTTGACTATGAAGGGCATGGGAGAATTTGGAAAATGATGGAAATATTCTGGAACTACATTGTGGTGGGGATCATGTGACTGTTAAAATTTATAGATCTGTCCATCCAAATAAAAGTGAATTTTATCATCTGTAAATTGTACTTCAATGAACCTGACTTTGAGGAATGGATCACACCACCGTTGTGTGGTTAGTGTGAAATGAAATTATGCACTAGTCCTTAGTCTAATGTCTGGCACATTATAAGGGCTCAAAAATGGTGGTGATTGGATCATAATTATCTTTAGCATCATCATTGTTACTTTTATTGTTCATTTTTTATTTATGTCAGTAAATCAGACGTAAGTCATATTTGGAACATGTTTAAAAACCTGCTATATTCCATCCCTGGACTCATTTCAGAAACAGCATAATCATGTTTTTTTGAGACAGGGTCTCTCCATGTAGGCTGGCTTTGAACTCACAGTGATCCTCCTGCCTCAGGCTCTCAAGTGTTGGGATTACAGGTGTGCACCACCACGCCTGGCCACAGTAATCACTTTTTATTGCCTATCTGACACCCTGAAAAGTTAACATGCTTTGTGCACAGAGCCCTGCCTACATAAAGTGTAATCATCCCATCATATAGATCAGGAAGTGGAGGCCCAGAGAGCTTGAGCCATCTGTCAGGAGCCACATAGCTACGGAGGGCAGGGCCTGGGTTCCGGCTCCAGCTAAGGACACAGAGGTTAAGGATGAGGCCACACAGAAAGGATCACCTTGTGGACCCAGAGAGGGAGGCTCCGGTCCAGGATTCTCAGGCCGGTGTAGTCAGCACCTGCAGCCCTGGCTCCCAAGGAACCTGGCGGAGGGCTTGTGGATTCCTGGCCCCTGGGAGAGAGAGGCACAGACATTTCCTCAGCACCAGTTCACATCAGCTTCTGCTGGTCTTGACCTGAGATGCCCTTGTCCCACTTTCTCGCCTCTCTCCCCTCAAGGCATAGCTCAAGTATCTGAGCATCCTTCACCTTGTTCATGTCCTTCTCTGCATCCCTGTGCCAGGCACGGAGCCTGACACCTAATAAGCACTCACAAGGTGTTGCAGTTTAACTGTGTCCCCCACAGTTCATGTGTTCAGAACCTAATTCCCAGACTCACATGTTAATGGCATTTGGAGGTAGCCCTGTGGGAGGTGATTAGGATTCAGTGCGGTCATGAGACCAGGGCCCCTATGATGGGATTAGTGGCTTTATAAGCAGAAGAGACAAAGCCAGAGATTTAGCTCAGTAGCACCACACCTGCCTGGTAAGCATAAGGGCCTGAGTTCGATTGCCGCTACCAAAAAAAAGAGAGAAAGACTGTGGGGTAGCTCAGTGGTAGTGTGGTTGCCTAGCATGTGCAAGGCCCTGGGTTTGATCCCTAATACCACACACACACACACACACACACACACGCACACGCACGCAAAGACAGACCTGAGCTCTGGCTCTCCATGTGATGGCCTCCTCCATGTCATGATCAGCAAGAAGGCCTCACCAGACATTGGCACCATGTTCTTGGACCCCAGAATCCTGAACCCAAATACATTTCTATTCATCAGTTAGCTGGTTTTAGGTATTTTGTTATAGCAGTGGAAAACAGAGTAAGAAAGTCTATGTCTACTGACACAGTGGATCTCTACATGTTACTGGGGTTGTGTTTATGAACCTCAGGTCTGAAGCAAGACTTTCTAGTTTGAATCTCAGATCTGTGTCCTCCTCACTTGGGTGACCTTGAGCAAATGACCTCTGTGAGCCTTGTTTTCCTCATCCGTGAAACAGGGATAATAACTTTGCCCGCTCCATGGAGTTACTGGGGACAGGATGGGTCAATATAGGTAAAATGCTTGTACTTCAGTTGCCCATGGTGAGTGCTTGCTGAGCTGACTACAGTTCTCTGTTTCCAGAGCTGGACAGAGGCCTCACTGAGCCCCAGATTCAGGTCGTGTGCCGCCAGATGCTGGAAGCCCTCAACTTCCTGCACGGCAAGAAGATCATCCACCGAGACCTGAAGGCTGGCAATGTGCTGATGACCCTTGAGGGAGACATCAGACTGGGTAAGGGTGGTAATCAGGTGATGGGGAGAAGGGTGTCCAGGGTGGGAAAGGCAGAGCCACATAGTACCAGCCTGAGGAGTTGGCTAGGGACGCGGTGGCCTGGCCCTTCCCATGAGAGGGAACTTGAGCTTGGTCCTTCCTCCTTCGACCTGCAGGAGATAGACAGTCCTCCGCCCTCTAGCTGTGGACTGTGAGTGACACCATCCTCATCTGCTGACCCAGTGGTTCTCAACCTGGGTGACTTTGCCCTGTGGGAACATTTGTCACTGTCTGAAGACAACTTGGGGTGGGTGGCGGTGGGTAGAGGCCAGGGGTGCAGCTAAGCGCCCCACAGTGCACAGTGCAGCACCCACAGTGGAGAATGAGCCCACCCAGATGCCCAAAAGTACAAAAGTGCTGTACTTTCCCCACATATGGTCAGATCCACAAATGTGGAACCCATGCCAATATAGTTGATGGCCAATAGTGTATCATTCTTTTTTATTGTCCCTTTCTTTTCTTTGCACTCTCAGTAAGTTCTTTAGCCTAAATGACACAGATGTGCCCTCCTCTGCCACTTCCTCCCATTGCCATCTACCCCAAGACATGCACCTTGAACTCACCTTATCTTTACTTCTGCATTGTAATTAGGCCTGAATGGTGCTTTTAGAGAGTCAGGAGGTTTATTATTGGATGAAAAACAAATGTTTATAATATAAAACCCATGTAGTACATGAAAGTTAAAAGGAGAAAGCTAGAAATGCCTCCAATCTCATCTGGAAATGTCCACCAAAATGGCCAGGTTGTCACCCCAGACGCCTCTGCATGGTGGAAGGATTCGTGGAGGGGGAGACTTGAAGAGAACATCTGTCTGTCACAAGAGAGAGATGCTTCTCCCTTTCTTGTGCATTTGACTGCATTCAAGTCCATTTTCCATTCATGTCTGTGATAGGGAAATAGTTCATCTGTCCTTCCATGTTCTCAGTCTCGTCCTTCCAACATAGAAGTGTCACTCTTGGTACTTGGTATTTAGTGACTACCTTGATGTCTCTAAAGAACATTTTAATTATGTCCACAAAGAACTGTACCAGCATTGAGCCCTGTGAGTGCAAACTGCAGGGTTAGTAATGTGAATGGCGATGGAAATGTGCATCATCAACTAAAGCCTCTTTGTGCAGTTTTCAGCATCTCTGCTGTGTGGGCCCAGAGAGGGTGGGGACTTGCTCTGGGTCACAGAGCTGGCCAGGATAGAGCTAGGGCTGAACCCTAGGGCTGCTATGCATGAAAGGTAAGTGTGGACTGGGTTGGTTTTGTTTTTTTTTTTTGGTACCAGGGATCAAACTTGGGACCTTGCACTTTCGAGGCAGGCGCCGGAACCACTGAGCTAAATCCCTGGCCCAAGTGTGGACTGGGTAGTAAAGATGGTTAGGTATTTGCCAGATAGACATGACTGGGCAGGGTGGTCCAGGAAGAATGAGCCTTGTGGATACAGGCATGGGATGACAAATAGCAAAGTATCTGAGGAAGAACGATAATAAAAACAGCTACACACATCTACTGGGTTTATGGAGTCCCCATGGGTGTCAGGCATTAGACAAGACACTTTGTATGTATCCTCTCATTTTATCACACAACAGGGAGCAATCCCAGGGGAAGGGACTATTTTACAGATGAGGATGCAGAGCCCCAGTGTGAAATAAGGCACCTGAGATCCTGCTGTGAGAGGGGAGAGCAGGTGAGTTTGTTTTCCCTGACTCTGCAGCTGATGGAGGGCTACCTCATTCTTGATAGAGGGAGTGGTCCAGGAGGGGCTGCATCAGGGAGTGCCAGGGTCAGAAGAGAGTCACATGTGCTGTGGCAGAGGCATGGGGAACATTCAGCTCCAGTGGGAGATGCAGATGCATACGGCCAGGGCCAAGACCACACTGAGCCTAGTGAGAAGGAGGTGGAGGTTGCAGCCCTGCAGCTGCTAGCTGAGATAAGCCCAATGGGCTCCTCATTTTCTATGCCATTGCTCCTGCCTCTTGCCCAGTTGCACCCTAAATCTGGAGGGCACTGGCATGCTGAGCACACTCATGAACCCCACTCAGACCAGTGCGGGGGAGTGAGGCAGAGGAGTGCATTGACGTGGCTAGTTGAGAAAACCAGGAAGCCAGTTAAAGAAGAAAAGTTTAGAGAGAGTCGAGCATGTGAATATTTGCACAATTCCTTTGAGGCCCTGGGAGCCATGGTGTGAACACTGCCCTGCTGCTGCCAAAGAGAACCTTCCTCCCCACTGAGGCTCAGAGTCTGAAGCCTCATGTAGCAGTGGAGCAGGCCTGGGAGGCTGAGTGGCATCTGTTGAGCTCTTCCTACCTTCTCAGGACTGTCTTGGGTCCTGGAGGCCCCACCAGGACTCCCATGTCCTGAGCCCGCTCAGGGCCGCCTAAGAGAAGTGCTCTGCAGATCTTTCTCCCAAGTAGGTGTGTCGCCTCATTAAAGATAGCCTGTGCTGCCCAGATCCTGGCCCTGCCACTTCCACTCTGGGGTCTGTGGACACATATTTAGCTATTTAAGCCCCAGGTCTTTCATCTGTACAATGGATGTAACAGTAGAACACCTTACAGGGCTATTAGAGCAATTGGGATGAAGTACAAAGTACCATCACATGGAGGCAGGGGCCCAGGGTCAGGTTCCTCTCTGCTTCCAAGCATTTTGCTCCTTCCTGTGTTAAATATTTACTTCTCTCTAGGATCTCCAGCTCCCTTTGGGATTCCTTTGACAGTTGTCAGCTGTAGCATAAGCTGCAGCACTGGGTGAGTGGGAAGTGGGTCTGGATTGATGGGTGAGAATCATTGGTACAGAGAGAGAAACAGTTTGTCTGTTGACTGAGGTATAGGATATTCGTGGGCTGTGGACTTTGAAGTCTAAAGATCTGTGTTCTTGTCCTGGAATTGACACTTCGCAAGTCACTTAACCTTTCTGAGCCTTGGTTTCCTCAACCTCTGAGTGCAGTAATTTCCCACCCGGGACTTGGTTGGATGACTTAATGAGACAGACATCTCATAGGCACCTGGCAAATCCCAGAGGCCCATCAAATTTGAAACTTCTTTCTTGGGCTGAGGAATGTCCCCAAATAATTACTGTGAGGTGCAGTGTACCCATTGTCCAAGATACTGGGGTTCCTCACCCAGGTGCTTCTCATAAGATGGGAGGTGAATTTTGCAACTTTGGGGTCTTTCAAGTTCCAGCACAGGTCTCAGCTGACCTAAAAATCCAAGCACCCAACTTGAACCTGGAACGCAGGAGGTATTCAGTAATAAATAGTCATGTCTGGCATTAGCATTACTTCACTCCCTGATGACTCCAGGATCGCAAACCCTAAAGCCATCGGCTCTGCAGGAGGCCTGTCAGATGGGCGAGTCAGGAGCCAGCCCCCTATCTGTCATCCCACCTGCCCCCAGCCCAGTGTTCCTGGTTCTTGACCCAGTGCACTGGGGTCCTGGTTCGCCTTTTCCAAAAGGGAGGTGCTCCAAAGCCCATAGTGGCTGCCTGAAACCCCAGAAAGTACTAAGCCCTGTATGTGCTGATTTTTCCTATACATACTCTGTATACCTCTGATAAAGTTTAACTTATAAATTCAATACAGTAAGAGATTAACAGTAATGAATTATAAAATAGAACCAACCGTTACAACAATGTCCTGTAATAAAAGCCATGAGAACATGGTCTCTGTCTCTTGGAGGAGTCAAGGCAGATAGTGATATTTCTGATTGACCATGGGTAATTAAAACTATAGAAAGTGAAATTGCAGCACTGAGCAGTGTTGGGTATGCATAGCATTAACTCATTTAATCCTCAAAGGCCACTGCTACATGGGTACTAGGGAGGTTAATTAACTTGCTTAGTGTCACACAGCTCTCAGGGACAACTGGGGTCCAAACCAAGGCATCTGGCTCCATCCCGCTTTTATAGACTCAGTGCTAAATGGTAAAGACTCATCTTCTATGACTGAAGGCCGACAGGAGAAGGTGAATAGCACAGAACCAAATGGAGGGAGATCAGTGATTCATCTCATGATTCATTGGAACCTGGAATACAACTGTTGCCAAAACTGTGGCTCTAGCTTCTGCCTTGCTGTGCATGTTGGTTAGGTTCTCAGACCAGCAGTTCTGGAAGCTTCTGGCGAGATGTAGTTTTGTTTTCCAGCATTATCATTTACAGAATGAACCGAAATCTTACCATTGGAGGCCTCAACATTAGTGATCTCAGTGAAGGATTCTGATTGGCCCAGCTTGGTTCAGGTGGTGATCCCTGGGCCAATCAGTGAGGCCCAATAAAGAGGCTCTCTGACAGGCTAAGCTTGTAGTCAGGCTCTCTGGCATGGAATGAGATGAATGAGGACCAGCAGACATACTAAGGTGGGAGGTGAGAACAGCAGCCTAAATTTGTGATTGAGATTGAGGTGTTATGGGGAGAAGAGAGTCATGGAGCCAGTGAGAGTAGGGAGCTGAAGATAAAGGGGAACAAATGGAGAAACAAAAATCGTCAAGTTGCCACGGGTCTCTAGTTGCCTAAAACCTAAAGAGAATAAAAGAAACCTTATCTTGCTTGCCAGAGCAGTTCTTGGTCTCACAGCTGGTTGCTGGGACACCCAGTTAACAGATGAGGAAACTAGGGGGTTTGGCAGTGTGCTTGCCAGCACGCTGGAGTCTTCTCACCTGCCTGCCTGGCTTGTTTCTGTGACACCCCAGGAAGGCGGCTCTGCCGGTAATTAGGAGAAGCTTTTCTCCTCCTGAGCTCAGCAGGCGGCTGTGGTCCGAGGAAGGAAGGCCCTGGGACCCCAGGCCCAAGGTCGGGGGGCCTTTGCTTTCTCCACCCCATTCCAGGTTCATGGGTCCCAGCCCTCCCAGGGCTTGATTCCTTATCTGTCTCACAAGGGCACTGATGGCATTTTGGAAGGGACAGTTTTCACCGTGGAGGACTTCAGCTTCCCAGGCTCTCGCTTCCTGTGTGGCAGGAGCACTCTGCTCATTGTGGCA